TTTTATTGTTCATCTATTATCTGTTCCCAAAGGAAGCAGATATTATTGCTATAACGTCTATTATGTTTGATCTTTGTATTTAATTGCTATGATTCAATATATGTTATTTAGATACTGTGATTGGTGGTTAGGTTTATGTTTTCAATGATGAATGAGTCTATAGTGCATTATGTGAGACATATATCTATCCATATTATATCAATTCTACTTGAGAAGAATGTCTAATATCAGGTGTATTCTTTTAATTGGAGATTGTGATATTTGAATGTGTCAATCATCCCTAGCTCTTAAAGTTGTTTGCAAAAGCTATTTGTTTTATCTTTATGTGTTTTTCTGTTTATACTAATTTTGTTCATTTTCTAAGATGGGCTGATGTTGAAGTCTCTACCTATTATTATGAGCCAGTTCAAGCTGTTATACTGTTTAATCTATTTTATAATTTGTTTTTGTCTTTCTGTTCTGAGCTTTCCAGCTCTGGCAGGAGAGTATATATCAATGATTTTGTAGTAAAGTTTGTTGAGGAGTGCAATATCTATACACATGGCTCAATCCAGGAAGCATTGTATTTCAATAACATAGTCAGAGAGGGGTTTTTTAATTGCAATGCCCACACTAGCCCCAATATTATTGTATACTTCCCACCATATTGAGTAGTCTTCTGTTTTCCAGTATTGTGTACTGATTTTGGTTCCATTGGTTTTTATTGATATTATTATATCCCAGTCATTCATGTGCCATGTGACTAAAGATAGGTCTCTAAAGAGGAAGGTAGGGACATAAATCAAATGTCCCTCACTAGGAAACATTAAAATTTTTAAATTAATAACTATAAAAAAACTACCTACAATTGTTTTCCATTATCCAAATCATTGATTTATAGCATTTCTTAATTTTTGTCCCTATTGAAGTGAAGAATTATAAATTTTGTCCCTCAAAAAAGGACATAAGTGATCTGCAAAATTTTATATGCTAAATACTTTAGGGACCCATCATTACATGTGGTGAATCAAATTTCTCTTTTGAGGGGATCATTTAGGCCTCTACAATTTAGGATGGCTACTGTCTAATAAGGCTTTTTGTAGTTTTGTTCAGCATTGGTAGGATTATATTGTAATATATTTTTAGGATATTGTAGAGTATTTGGGTAATTGTATATTTTTCTAAAGTTGTTACTAAGGGGTGGATATTTGTTAAAATAATATTTTGAGTTGCTTTGTTCGAGATACTTGCATTTGTGTTTGTGTTGTTATGGATCACATGGGTGACATAATTTACACGTAATATTATAGAATCCAAAAACCTAAAAGTTTAGTATGAAAGATTGAGTATTGCAAGATAAAAAACTATAAATAAGACTTGGGTACTGATAAGGGAACTATGTGTATCAGAAAAAGTATGGAAAGTTTAGCAAAGCTTAGGGTTAGTATAGTCGATTATAAAGTAGATAGCCATTGTTAGTTAGAAAAGTATAAATAGTTTACCAATGTATGCCAAAAAGGCAAAGCTGAATGTGTTAAAAAAAACTGATCTCATTGAGAATAGAAATAAGAGTTAGTAATATACTAAAGAAACAGAATGCAATAAAGAGACACTTTCCTTTGGTCAAGTCAATCACCATGTCTCTACCTTCCCTAAGTGTTCTTTATAGAAGATATTTTCTTCTTTGTGTCATTTGTGAGTATTCGTGAGAAGTCTAGATTACGTGAGATACTATGAATTAGTGACAGACTTGCCGGGATAGCTCACGACAGTGTGATTAGAGATGATGGTATTGCTTAAGGTATTGTTGTTGTTCTTTGATGCATTATTACTCTGAAAGTTATCATTTTCTTGTTTAGTGGTTGTACTACTTGTATTATCCATATTATTGATATATGGAGGGAAGTTGTCTTATATTGCTTGAGAGAATATTTGTGATGGTTAATAGTAGTGCATTTATAGTTGTGTCCATGTTTTCTATTGATTGGTGGAGTTGTTGTTGTTGCTGTTAGATATCTTGTATGTTTAAGGGTTCGGCTACTGGTGTTTTAGTGTTAGTGTTGGTGTTTGTGTTATCCTCTTCTATGCCTTTTGTGTCTGCATAACAGTATCATTAGAGATTATCAATTCTTTCGTTAAAATTTTCCAATGATTCTTTGATGGAAGTAAGTTCTTCATGAATTGTATTGAGTGCTATGAGAATGTCATCTGTTGTGTCTAAGTTGTGTTCATTTTCAGAGATGTTGTGGAAACTTCTAATGGCTGCAGTGTATAATCCTGGTTTGAAGAGTTTAGTACTTCTTGAAGGTTATATTAGTCTACGGATGTGTGTGGATTTGACTAATTTGAATTGATTGTATAATTTTCTGAATTTTTGGGCTTGTTTGTAATTGTACTCATTCTACTGTTCTCTTTATTCTTTGATTGTGCAGCTGGCTACGAGATGGTCAAGGCTATCATATATGATGCAGAGCTTCGTATTAATGGGTTTGCATATTAGAATGGTTTTCCTGAGATAAAAAGTTTCATTTAGTGCTTGTTGAAGGAGTTGTTTGTTATCAAAGTTGAGGACTACATATTTTCTTGGTTTGTATGATATTAGTCAAGATATATAGCAGGTTTTGGCTTATAGCTTTTGGCAGATATGCTTGAGGTTGAATGCACAGGTCCCAGGTGAAAGATTGATTAACTTTACAGACAGGGTTCTCCTGTTCTTCATTTCTAGTAGGTCCCAGGTTGCATCAAAGATCCTTATTGAGTCTGCTTTGATGAGAGTACTCCAACATTCTAGTGCTTTACATTTATTTGCCAGATTGAAAAATGTGATCGTGGCTGACTACCACATTTGTTGTGTTGCTATTTTGATATTGGTTATTGTTCAAACTTGACGAATGTTTATTGCACATTTATGAACTTTGTATTAAGGGAGATGTTTCACACCCTGATGCTCATTTCCTTATCGAGTTTTGCAATTATTTTGAAAAGTGGTGTGAGTTTGGTATTGCTTGTTTTAATCAGGCTTATGTTGCTGATTGTTTTTGAAAAGTGATAGTCTTTGAAAATGGTAATGATATGATTGATCTCTTCTATTTGTTCACTTTGGATTATAAGTAGTCCTTTAAAGGAGTTAAGTGCCTTGGGTAAGGAAGGTGATTTATTTTCTATAGAGTTTCCTGATAGTAAGTCTGCTTTGATTCCGAATTTGATTCTTTCTCTGCTATACCTGATATCTCTGTCGAAAGATAAGTGGGGTCTTGATCTGCTCTCTTATCTTGATTCTTTTTTTATCCGTTTTTTTTGGGTTTGCCAGTCTTGTTTCTCTTGAGAAGAAGTGTTGTTATTGAAGTCCATTTCAACATCTGAGTCATCAATTCTTACTGGTCTAAGGTTGTCAATTGCTATCTCTTTACTCTTTGCCATAGGGTTTTTTCTGTTTTGCACTGTGTTTCGCCTGAGTTGTGGTGTGCCTTGTTTTGCGTATTTTGCTCCTTTTCCATCTGTTCGCTCTAGATATATTGAGTTTTTGTCATACTAGTGTCTTCTGTTGGTCCGGTTGTTGTATTGTTATCTTGAGCTGTTGTTTGTATAATGCTGGAGAATAGAGGGATAGTTTGTTTTTGTGATGTTATTTGTTTGGTACTGGGTTTCTTTTTAGGTTTTTTGTGTATTTCTTTGCTGATAAAACTGGCCTTGCCCCTAGTGAGCTTGTCAATATTATAGTTGTGCCTGCTAGTTAGGTATTGTTGTCTTTTAGGTCTCTCCATTTTCCAACTATTTCTTGCATTTTTGTGATTTATGCTACTGCACCACAGGAAATGGGAAAGAGTTTTTGATAATACAATGAATTGTAAGAAAATTTATATATTAGTAAAGAAGTAAGTTTCTTAAATATTTTTTTTGAAATTTCTTTATTTAAAAATAAATAAGTTTTTTAAATATCATAAAATTAGAGAATATTTTAATAAGGCAAATTTCTTTTGAGAAAAAGTTGTTGAATAGATTAAAAATCTTTTGAAAAAGCTTTGAATTATTTCACTTTAACAATCCATTGTTTTTTGAAATAATCAATCATAATAAACTATTAGCAATAATCCTGATAATTAGAGTTCAAGTATCAAATTGTGAATATAATATTGTTTTTAAATCTTATTTAGAATACTTAGTTGAGACTTAGATTTGTTTAATCCAAATTAACTTAGTAGACTTCTCATATTTTTTAAGTAGTGTAATCCTTCAGCTAATAATGTACAAAGATGAGTTAATTATCATGTGAAAATCCAAGTAATATTGTGATGTTTATTCAATATCTCAGTAAAGACATGCCATGATGGCGATTAAAAAAAATAATAAGTAAATTCATAAATCAATAGAAGAATAATTTTCTTAAACAATTATAAAGAAGTTTCTTGGAATAAAAAATAATTAGGTTCTTTAGATAGATAGTCAAAAGAAAAAATCAAGGAATTTTTTCAAGAGAATATGGTAAAGGATCTTCAATGTTTTTTATCAGTCGCGTCATCTCTATGATCAGTCTCTCATGGATCTTAAGATCCAATAACAATAATTACATAACGTACATACATCAAGAAAAATCTCATAAACAATTAAAATTCTGGTGAAAATAAAGTTCTACAAATAATAAATAATTAAATCGACGTCGCATAAAAGAGATGCAGAGAATTTATATATAATTTGTAGCATTCAAATGCACGCTTTTGATCTCGAAAGGTTAATAAATTATCTTGGTCCTTGATTTATTACGTTCCTTAATTATTAGATTCATCAAATTATTGACATGTTGCATTTCATCTATACATCTTCAGATGAAACAAGACGCATTCAATTACAAAATTATTTGTTCAGCTATCCGTCGCGAGATTAAGTCTTGTTTCTTTACAATCGTCTTCGGATTCTCTGTGTACAGATGGCCAAAAACGTAGCTTGTGGGATGCAATGGTGTCACCAAAAAAATTTATAAATGAAGTTTTGGTAAATTGAGTTGAAGTTTACAATAAAAAACGATGCCGCGTTCGCGCGGTCCTACCAAGCCTCGCAAAGAAATTAATAAAGATTATCGAATTCGCAAAAAGAATGAAAAAGAGGGACTTGTAGAAATGGTAGCAAAATTTAAGGCCGAAATCGAGCAACTTAAAGAACATGAAAAGCTTCTTAGGGCAGAAATTGAATCACACAAGGAAAGAATGTTTAAGCTCAAAGAAGAGTTATATGAGGCAAACTTGCAACACCTTCAAAAAGAAGTTAACTATAAAGACGAAATAATTCGACTCCTAAGTGTTCGAGAAGACCGGAGTCAACCCCAACCCCAATCGCAACCACAAAATCAAGAGAATGATTGGGTTTCTATCGTAAGTTACGCAATTGTGTTGCCACTTTTTTGTTATTGTTCCATTATTTGACTTTTATTTCTCTTTCAGAACTATTATCAGCAATGAACTTTACGAATTTATTTTCAACATTAAAAATGGTGCATACTGTATTTTTAGTATGTGTGGCGAGTCAGAGGGTTACTCTAAAGTTATAACTCCAAACATATATTAGAGAACCCATATGCCTTTACTTTACAGATTGGAGTGTTGTAGAATTTGTCGCCAATCTCCTTATATTAATCTTTGTGAGCTTGGGTTCACTTTAGTCGTTTTTAATACGAATATTTTTATTTATAATTGATCACTTTTAAGATTATTAATAAAGTACTTGGGGGTGTATGCTTAACCGGGATCCATAAGTCTATTTTTTTCTTTTCAAATAACCAGAATTGCCGGTTGATTTTTAGACACCTAAAACGATTTTAGTATAAACGTCAGATTTTCTCGGAATTTGCGCGATTTTTGTGGGAGTCATATTGAGCTTTTCCACAACAAGGCATTGAGTATTATAAACTCATTCCCGTCAGCCTAATTTGTGTAGTTTACTCGACATATACTAGTTAGACAACTTTAAATTTATAACGAATTTACAGTATCTCAAAATTGTTTTAATAGCCATTTATAGCATCGATATTCAGCATATAATGTATATAATATTTAAATGAGTGCATTGTTTCACACGTTTGAAAGTCAACCTTCACCGGCAATAAAAATTATATGCTATCTAAAAAAAGTATAGATGGCACCGAAAGATATTTTCACTACCAAAAAAACATTAGCCTTTTACTTTCTGATATTGATATTTGTAACAAGTTTGTTGATAAATGGCTTGATAAGGTTG